GGAACTACTGCCAGCTCCCATAAGGGAATCTCGGGGTTTCCAGGCCAACATGGAGATGCAGTTCCTGATTTGGCTCCTTACAGTACAAATGAGCTAAATACGGACTTCTCATCTAATTTAGTTTTTTTATCATCCTTTTTTCATACACATTTGCTTTTACAATTACCGAATGTTTTATTTTTGTTGTGATTCTCAAAATGAAATCATTCCTTCTGTATTCATTGTATAATAACCATGTTCTGATGTAAAACATACAGGTTTATACATTTGTTAGGTTTGTGATTCTAATGTTGCCCTAGTTTTTCTCCATTATATTATATGTTACTATTTATTTTATATTATGTATATTTATATTATATCACTATATTATATTATCTTGCTTTTAACACAGATTTTATAATTGTATCTCACTGTTAGATTTTTTATGCTCTTTTTATTCTCCTTGTTCATCACTTTGATCAGCTGTCATGCTGTTTTAAAATGTGCTTTAGAAATAAACTTGATAGTTTTCTATTTCCCCTCTGCCACTGGGCAAAATCCTGAATCAGCACGGCCTGAGCTATCACATTTACGCTGCTGACTGCCAAATATATGTAGCAATGGATGAGGATACTGTATTGCATTTGCTGCATGTTTAGACGACGTGAAGGGCTGGCATCAAATTTCTTAAAGTTAAATGAAAGGAAGACTGTTGTTTTTTTACCTCCGCAATCACCATGGCTCTCACCCTGTTTGTGATCTTTTAACCTTCAACCCCAAACAGTGCGTGACAATTCTCGGGGTAAAGGTAGATGCTGAACTCTCAATGGCACCACAGATTAACTGAGTAGTGAGGTCCTGCTTTTACCAGCTTCGCCACCTTGCTCACCTCAGACCAATCTTGAAGCGGAGGCATTTGGAGTCAGTCATCCATGATTTCATTATCTCTCGCCTTGACTATGCAAACGCCCTCCTAGTTGGTGCTCCGGTTTCTGCCCTGAATCGGCTGCAGGTCTTCCAGAACACTGCTGCCAGGTTGTTGACAAATACGCACCGACGTAGCCATATTACTCCTGCCCTGGAACATCTTCACTGGTTCCCTGTCATTTTACGAGTACAGTTTAAGTTATTGACTTTTGTTTTTAAAGCGCTCAATGACCTGGCATCTCCCTATCTCTCTGACCTGCTCACTCCCTATCGACCCACACGCACGTTGAGGTCGGCTGACGTCCTGCTGCTTTGCACTCCCCGGATTCGTTACAAATCACTGGACAAACTAACATTTGTACATGCTGCCCCAAAGCTGTGGAACTCTACGTATTATAGTTTGACAGGCTCCATCATTGGCGGTTTTTAATTCTCGTTTAAAGACTCCCTTTTACGATATGGCTTTTAGACCGTGACTCGTTTTATTGTTTTATTGTGGTCTTTGTATTACTCATTTTTTTAATTTGCTTTTATTGATCGGTATTTTTATCTTCTGCTTTTGTTGCTTTGGTTGGTCATGTTTTGGTCCAGCCTGTGCAACACTTTGGGCAGCTCCCATGTTGCATTTTAAATGTGCTATATAAATAAGGTATTGTATGGTATGGTATATTATTTTTTAAAGTAATTCATAATTGTGAAAACACATAATATATCATGGATGTTAAACCATATAAACTTTAGTTTCCTATCACTACATGGCAACCCACAGAAACTGAAACTGCAGTAGCCAAATCTGACCACAGGATGTCACTTTTACTCAATTCTTACATAGTTTAAATTTTTTCTCCACTGGTTTGGCTCATTTCTTGAAACAGAAATTACATTCTCAAACCTCTAGGATCATTTGGTAAAACACTCTTACAGTTTAGCACAACACTATAGCTCACCTGCAAAAGCTCATATCTCTTCCAAAACTGTTCACTCAGGCTTCAATCTAAATCCCTTTCTCATTTGAACAGTCAGTGGCTCCAAAATGACAAAGATCCTTCTCAATAGGTTTGGCTCATTTCTCGACACAGATCAGGCATTCTCATCATTCTTGGTGCTTTTGTCAACATAAACCTGGATGGTTGATCACAACAACATGGTTTACCTGCAAAAGCTCATAGCTCTCCTAAAACAGTTCACTCGTGTCAAAACTACATTTCTTTCCAATCTGAACAGTCAGTGCCCCCAAAATGCACCATCCCTTTGGCATTGTGTGAGTACTGCCATACAAAATGTTTAGATGTTTTGTCTCTATGGCAGAGGACCAACAGTATACAACCGAAAAGAGTAGCCTCCAAGGTTTGACATCACAGATTGCACTCACACTACCAAGGAAATTATAAGAAGAAAAGATCTTTTCTATAGCGCCTCTATATGTTTCTCAAAAACAAAAAATGTAAAAATATAAAAAATAATTTAGAAAATGGTTAAAAACATATTTAAAATGAGCAAAAAATAGACAATTGTGATTTAAAAAATGTTAAGAAAGAGAGAGAGTGAATAGGAAAGAGGGAAATCAGTGGATCCTGAGGAAGGTGGAATAGGTGGTGAGAGCAGAATAAAGAGAGAGTGGTGAAGAAGGTCATACAAAAGCCAGCTTGAACAAGTGAGCCTTCAGCTGTTTCATTTTTTATTCACTTGCAAAGAAAGTTTCATACATATGTAAGAAGAAATTGTACATTACAGTGATACAGTAAATTGTATGAACACAAAATCAAAAAAGAAGGATGTATTCAGTTGTCTATAATTGTGGCCCAAATTTCATTCGGGACAGCACAGTGTCTTCCTGCTCCTCAGCCTCTTCCCCATGTTCCTCCACCACACATTCTCAGTCCTTCTCTTCTTCTTCTTCCTCCTCTTCCTTGAGGAAGAACTTCCCCTTGTCTGTTTGCTTGGCCTTGTCTATCCATGTTCAGAGATCGGAATGGCGCTGGTCAAGCTCTATATAGCTGTGTTTGGCAGGACACAATCCTGGAAAACACCTGTGTGTGACACTCCCTGTTCGTTAGTCTAGTTTCACCTGACTGTCAATGACTCATCAATGTATCAAATATTCAAAGGAATTCATATATGGTATGCATGGTATTATGTTCTTGACCAATTCTGACAATTGAACAGACAGTTGTGCATGCGAGTACTCATACAATGAAATCATGCTGACATGTTTTGGAGAGAATGATCATTAGACTGAGAATCAACTAATCAGTTTAGATCTACAAGATCTATTTATGTGGAAAATGTGCTAAATGTGGGCTAACTGTATAGCTGTAAGCTACATGTACTTAATCATTTGCAAAGATGCACTGAGACAACTGGGACATGTACTAAGGCATTTGCCATTTGATGAAATGAATGAGAAATACCATTCTGTTGTGAACATTTTTTGGAGGTTTGTCCATGCCTTGGCGGAAAATAATGGATAGAACCAGAAACCTTCACATGCAAAAAATGTTTGAAGACATTTTGAGCAAAGGCAGAAAACATGTTAAATTTAATTAAGCATTTGGTAACACGTGGAGTTCATCTTTAAGCTCCAGCTTGCATCAGTTTGGTAGCCTCCGTTAAGGTGAACGTAAGCTAAGTACATCAGAAGACCCCAGTGTTAGCGTGGATGTTTATGTTTATTTATTTGGCAGATGCTTTTATCCAAAGCAACGTACATGTGATGCGGTGTAATGGATGATAGTAAAGATGATGATATCAGCAGCATTTGTTCTTCAGGTGAGTCACTTTAACACCAACCAGGCTCGCCAAGTGTTGATGCTAATTTCTCAGCTATAGTGAAATGTTGTGCTAATTCCAAATGTGTCACCCTCACCATTATGGAAACACGGAAAGTTGTCATCAGAGATAAAATCATATCATATTCACCACAGCAGGAGCAGACCGAAATCACACTTGAACAGAATCGAAAACCTAATGAACAGAAAAACTAAATTATGATCAAACAGCTTACGTGTGAAAACTTTCAGTAATAAAACTGGTTAATTCCTGGCTAACCAGTGAAGTAGTGAAAACCAAAAATCTCTATGATGTGACGTTTTTTTTTTTTGTTTGTTTTTGTTTTTTTTGTTGGATGACGCGTGCCTTAAGTGTAGAATGATTACTGGGCTGGAATGTCCTTAAATAAAACAGCAGTCCAAAAAAGTTTTGAAGTTTTGTTCCATTTATTAAAGTAAGAAAAACAGGCAAACTAAACAAAACTTAAAGAAAATTGATGCCTACACTGTCGAGCACGGTCAAAACCGTTTGCCTCCAAGAAACCCACACCTGTGGCTTGATTAGGCCACCTTTAACCTCAAGGTAGGCCTAAAACCACACCCAGAGCGCCCTCTGTAGCAGATGGCTCCACCACTCTATTTCCATCTATTCTCAATACAGCAGAACAAAAAGGTCATCACTTGTACAAAATCAGTAATGTGTTTAAAAGTTGTACAGTCAGCTCTATACACCAGAATGTCACTGATCAGTACCGTATAGAGAGCCGTAAACCTTCCCATTTTATCTACAGAGCAACACATGTATGAGTGTGTCCCTTGGTTCTGGAAACTAAGTTTTTCACTTTAGGTTACAATACTAGGCCACTGCCTATGTGTACATGCATGTACTTTTGGTATTATTTATCTTCAAAATGTTCTCTCAAATGTTGGTGCTGCTGTAACAAGTGAATTTCTCCACTGTGGGATCAATAAACAATTCTGTTCTGTTTTGTTCTGTTCTATTCTTTAATGGTTTTGCACACTGTCCTTGTTAAATACACAGATAAACTAAACTGAACTATACATTATATCTTCATTAAATTGCAAGCAAATTCGGACCATTTAAGTTCTGGGTCACGTTTTTGTTTGTTTCTATTCAGTTTAGTTTTTACTTTAACTGAAAAACATCTATTTTAATGGTAGTTAGAGGTATTTAGTTGAATCAGCGTGTTGCGTTCCGTTTTGGATTATTTGGGTTGTTTTGGCTTTGGTGAAGTATCTCTTCTGTAAGAGGTGAGCTGCCACATCCGCCTGCAGGAGGCAGCAGCATCGCGCTCTACTATCGATGTCTGCTGGATTTTCGTGCGTAGAACAAGACGCCGACTAGCGACGTGGGTAGAAGCGGAAAAGGGGGAAGTTTTGTTTAGATATTTTGGAATAATTCGCTGAGAATATTGACTTCCTGACCGTGGACCACATGTTAGCTGACGCAAAAACGCTAAAAGTCGCGCAGGTGTTAAGTTAACGGATGAGTTTGAGCTTGAAACTCTTGTTTTGTTCGTAGTAGGCTAACGGAGCGGCTGTCCGTTTCGTCCTGACCGTCTCCGAAGCGCTCTAACCCGTAACTTCTCACGTAATGGGCCGCGGAAATGGGCCCGTTGGAGGCAGACCACCCATCGGTCCCCCGGGAGAAGAAGGCCCTCCTTTTGGCATGGGACCACCGGGCTGGGGCCCACCTGGCGGATGGGGCCCGCGACCTCCTGGTGGTTGGGGCCCGCGACCTCCTGGCGGTTGGGGTCCTCCACCTGGAGGCTGGGGACCTGAGCCTGATGAATGGGGCCCCCCACCTCCACACTGGGGCCCAGGAGGACCCCGTCATCCACATTGGGGCCCAAGGGGACCCCCACACCCTGACTGGGATCCACGGGGTCCCCCACACCCTGACTGGGATCCAAGAGGGCCTCCACCTCCTGACTGGGATCCAAGAGGGCCTCCACCACCTGGCTGGGATCAAAGAGGACCCCCACCACCTGGTTGGGGGCCCTATCCAGAAGACTGGGTGCCCCCTCCAGAGTGGGAATGTGGCCCCCATTGGAGACCAGGAATGCCTAGCTGGGGTCCGGGGGGTCCCCCTGAACCCTGGGGACCTGAGCCAGCTCTATCTCCACCTGTTCCTCCTCCAGGTATTCCCCCTCCCCCTCCCGTTGGGATCCCCCCTCCTATTGGGATCCCCCCTGCTGCTGCTGTTGGGGTCCCTCCACCAGACCCAGCTGCCATTCCGCCTCCAGCCTGCATGCCTCCGTTTGGGTTCCCAGCCTATCCTCCCCCCAATTGGACTGGCGAGGTGAGCCACTCTATGGATAAGTTAAGATCTGTGTTCACACACACACGCGCACGCACGCTCAGGTCCGGGTTTTTGTGACTTGCTGACATTTCTTGTCTTTCACGTTTTATGCCGACTTCCTTTTGAAGACACGGTGCATCGTGTTTTAAGGATCAGGGTTTTGTGCTCTTGACTGATCCTCCTGATTTATCTGTCTGCAGCCGATTGTGGAGGAACCGCTGCCGAACCCGCCTCCGGACCAGCCTGAATGGGTGAGTCTTTGGTTAGTTTATTGAAAGACTCTAAAAAGACCAGTTACTATAAATGTATTATAAATATAGAAGGTCAAATACAACCCAAATAATCTAAACCAACGTTTCTTGTAGTTTGAAGACAGCGTGGCTGGTCTAAATTAGCACGCCAAAGCTGTGTGTTACCTACTTTTTATGTAAATTAGAAAGTTTAACTCATTCGCTGCCAGCGTTTCTCACCGTTTTTACTGTTTTTTTTTAAGAGTCACAGAACGTTGCAAGCTAGGATGATGTCGACGCCAAAAAAAAGCCAAAACAAAGCGGAGACTCACCCCTTACATCAGGAAGAATCCGCACGTTTCGAGCTTTATCCGTTGTAACGTCCAGCAGTGGTCAGTTTAGGTACAGTCTGACCTTTCAACATCTATTCAACATCTGGTAAATGGTAAATGGCCTGCATTTGATATAGCGCCTTCTAGAGTTCTTGAAACCCCTCAAGGCGCTTTACAGAAAGGAGACACAACACTGCATGTATTCCCTTTAATGAGCCTGCCTTCATACCAGCCGGGGCTCACAGACTCTGCAGCCCTTAAAGATAAACAATAACTATTTCCCAAGGCCCTATCTGTCTCCTCCAACGAAAGAACAACTCCAGCTTGGATCATGATTTCCTAAATCAATATGAACTTCTTCCATGACTCCTAATCTAGATAATCATTAAATAAAAGTTGTTTATTACTATTACAATCATATTATAATGAAATGCTTCATTAATCTGTGTTCAATAATTGTTATGTAATGTTATGTCTACCACTGCAGTGTGTTCGGCATGTTTATACGACAGGTCCATAACATCTGCGTTCACACACTATAACAAGTATGGTTAAGTTAAACAACCACACATAACTTGCCCTTTTAACCAGTCAGAACATCCGTTATCAAAGAAGGTGTGTTTCTGAGTTGTCTTGGTAACATCTCCCAAGCTGTCAGCCTTTGATTGGCTGTGCAAATCATAACATCAAAACCTTAAAACTGGATCATGCTGAGTGATTCGTTAGTTCTAGAGAAAGCTTCAGACCGGCCACTTGTCGCAACCTCTTTAACCATCAAAGATTTTGACACGTCGTCAAAACCTTTTTGCACCTACAAAGCTGAGACAGCAAAACAAAGCTGATATTATTATTAGACTCCTTAAGAGTCCGCCAGACGCACGGTTCCATCCAGCTGTCGTGACCCGAGACATCTCTGGACTGAAGAGTTGGTACCACGGTATTCTACTGCCCTCCGGTGCCGGCGGTCAGCTGACCCCTGCGACTTTCAGATCCACCAAGAGGGTCTCTCTGAAACGGGTGAAGTAGACATGACAGATTGTGTCTGATGTGTTTACGAAAGATAACAACTTCATAGTTGAACACAAACCAAATTCTTTTTCATCCGGAGACGCCGCTCTCCGAGATTCTGAAGTTCTGACCTACATCACATTGACACATAGCCTTCATCACATTTAGCTCCATCCAATCACAGAGTGCTTAGTTCACTTTACGGCTGAAAGGATTCCTCAAGTACCTCGAATAATTCGAGTACAAAAAATCCTCGAGGCAAATTCTCTCCCTCGAGGCTTTGTTTAATTCATGTTGAATCAATTCATGGCTTTGCAATCACCCGGGGTCATGTTTCACCCGGACCGAAATAAGTGACGCACATACATACTGCACTGAATGCACACGCGAGTAGTGAACGCAACTTAACTTTCTCAAAAAAAAAAAAAAACCTTAACTTTCTCTTAAGCCATGGCGGACAATGTGGACCCGGGTGGAGTGCGAAAAAGACAGAAAATGTCAAAGGTGTGGGACCATTTTTCTCTTCGTAAGGCGGAAAACGTAGTCCAGTGTAAATACTGTAAAATGGATTTAGCCTACCACAACACCACATCCTCCATGCTGCAGCCTGACCAGGAAACATCCATATGTAAATGTCACTTCTGCAAGCGGACTCGGAACCTCTACCAGATAATGCATTTTAGCCTGCATTTCTGTATATTCTGCAGACACTGTGCAACTTTTTCGTTTGTAGCACTTTCAGCTCCCATCGTACGTCTGGTAGCAACACGTCGGTCTTAAAATGTGCTAAAAAATAGCAGTTTTTACAACACGTCGGACTTTTTATTGTGTTGTTATTGATGTCCGTTGTCCCTCGGGATCGCTGCAGGAGGACACAGGTATTTATGAGAGGCGGAGGAAAACGAAAGAAAGTAAATAAATGTTGTGTGATCAGTGTAACTTGACAAAACCACGGCAAACATGCTTTCTCGACAATCCTTGTTATTGTGTGAGAAAAAAAAAGTGAAGAAATTAAAACGAACGTGTGTTAATAGGGAAATAGCTGGCGAGCCATGTTTGCGCATGCGCCGTGAGTGGTTCTGGTGCTATTTGGTCCGCAGCCGCTCGCATTTGTTTACTGTGAAGTAAAGTGCTGAAGTTTTGAAAACTAATTTTGAATAAAACTTGAAGAATAACTGGCAATTGCTCATTTTAAGAGGTCTTTCATATTTTATAACATGCTATTTGATATAATGGTTTAAAAACGCAAAAGGGTGATTCATTAGAGTACTCGATTAATCGATAGAATATTCGATAGAGTACTCGATTACAAAAATATTCGATAGCTGCAGCCCTAGTTCACTTATCATGTTATAATTGTAATAAAATAATTCCTTACTTTTATAAACCTGACTCTTTTCCGAATCAAAACGAAGTGTGTATAATTACTTAATAAAGCAAAAATCCTAGAATCCTCTGATTAAGCCCTATAATCTTCTGATATTTACAGTAAAGATCAAGCAAGGTAATATTTTATATTTATATAGAATATCACATCTTCCCGGCCATAAGTACAAATAAATAATCCATTCACCAACGCTACATCGTTCTTTCATAATCTGTTGTTGAATTGTGATCGGCAGAAGCTTTTCTGGTTTGCGCCTCACTTTTTTTACAGCAGTGGCCCAAAACTATCTCCTAACACATGGATTTTCTGCTTCCTGATCACGTGACATGTGACGTATGTGGATGAAGATCGGCTTTGGAGCTGAGATGTTTGTTCTCATGGTGCGGGGGCTCGTTCCAACGCCCACACAGTAAAAAAATGCAAATGATGACTCTCTTTTCTGAGAAATCTCATAAAGATGTGGAGCCCTTCCTCCTGGTTTAAACCAACCAATCAGCAAGCATCTCATTAGCATATTAATGGGAGGGGTAAACAGCTCTTCTCATCAGGGCTGATTTAGCCTGTTTCAGGGCTCCTGGGACAGGTGAAAGCCAAAAGAACGTTTCTTCTGCTTCTTAGAGATTCAGAGCAGAGTGTTGCTGATTAACTGCTTTGTTTGTCCCCTTTAAATCGATTGAATTAAGTCTTAAATTTGTTTGGTATTGACGTGAATTTAAAATACGTTTGTCTCATAATTGCAAACTTGACACTTTTCTGTGAAAATTATCGTTTTTGAAGCCAAATATGACGTTCATGTGAATCAAAGTTTTTGTTTTAGGACAGATGAGTCTTTGGTCGGGTTTCAGTCGCGCTTGATAGCGTTAGGGTGTTCATCTTGTTCAGCTGGTCACAAGACTATGTTTCTGTTCTCCAGATAAAGGCACTGATTTCTGCTCCACCTGGGGATTCAACTCCTGCTGAGACTAAAAAATCCTCGGAAGCGCCCTCTGTCACCCCGGCTCCCGAGACCATTCCCACCCCCACCCCGGCTCCCGAGCCCACTCCTGCAGAACGAGAAGTGAAGAAGACAGCTAAAACTCTGGGCCTGCTTGGAAAACGCACGTTTGATAAGTTAGTTGTTACGTTTTACCTTCTTCAGGGAGGGGATACCAGGGAGACAAGAAGGAACTTGTGTAAAGAAAACAAATTTATTAAAACATTAGAAGATAACACAAAACCAAGGGCTGGAAATCCTAACAGCAATAAAACTAACTCAGCCCATGAAACTCTGCTTCCAGAGAGTCCAATGTTAGTACAGAATAAATCAAGAGGCTAAGGCTCAGTTCTTTTAACTGGCAGCAACAAAAGAAAACCTGAGTGCCCAACAGGATGGTACAAAAGAAAGAAAGATGTGGGATGGATTTACTAAAAGACTCAGTTATTTCCAAAACCTAAAGAAGCTTTCTTTCACCTTCTACATAATAGTACAGCAACTTAACCACAAAAGACTCTCAAACTCTTAACAGTGGCCACTGTAGTTCTTTTACTATGAGTAATTACAGGGTATCCGCGGGTCCTTAAAAAGTCTTAAATTTACTTTTCCAAATTTAAGGCCTTGAAAATCCTTAAAAATGACAAATAATCCTTAAATACTGTTTCCAAAGGTCTTAAATTACCGAAGACCCAATAAACTAGATAATTTTATTTCTATGACATTTTCGTGAATTTCTAGTTAGTGTTCAGCATTTTTTGTGTACGATGTTGCCGTAAGCGGAACCGTACACATTCAGTTGGTTGTGAAAGGGGGCTATTTTTAGATGAGCACATTAGCTGGTTAAGCTAGTGGGAGCTTGCGCCATGGGGAAGTGCAAGTTTAATGGTAACTGGATGGTTAATCCCACGTTTGTGACGTGGTTAGCACCGGTTCCATGCAATAGCTGGAAATGATAGCAGAAATTAAATTTTTTAAAATAGCTTAAATTTGGTCAAAGTGGCCTTAAAAAAGGTCTTAAAAAGTCTTAAATTTGGCTCCCTTAAACCTGCAGATACCCTGAATTACCGAACCTAAAGAGAGACTTATTAAAAGCTAAGGTATTATTTTCTTTCAAGATGTTCAAACTTCTAAACCCTGAAACCAGCCCAAAGGGAGTCTACTTGGTTACAAGTAGCTCCTAGAGTGAAAGTTCCTCCAGCCTTTTATCCTTTCCAGATCCAGGGAAACCGATAAGTCCAATTGCTTCCACCTGGAGAACCGTGGTGGGATCCACTAGTGATGAGGCTGCCAGTGCTCATTGTGGTTTCCATGGATACTGGACAACAGCATGGAGGCAGGCATCTTGTATCTGGGTCCGCTGTTGTCACTCCAAAAGAAAACAAAACAATGGGCAGAAAACTACCAAAACTGGGGGCAAAACACTGACTAAACAGTTATAATAATACGACCAAGCATGGTAAAACCCAGGGGTCGTAACGTAGTCCTTCATGGTGCTGGTGTGACCCAGATGTTCTGGCTTAATGTTTGTGTTTTAATCAGACTTTGTGTCTCCTCAGGCCTCCTCCTGGCAGATCCACGGGGATCATCTCTTTCATCGGGGTGAGGATCCAGTCTGAGGCCATTCAAATTCAATTCAAAGATACTTTATTAATCCCAGAGGGAAATTAGAGTTTCAGTACACACAATTCTGAGATCAGACATACATACATAGACACATGACAAGAATTGGTGACTGGTCATTCACAACACGAGTCGCGCTAGCGCAATAGATCAATAGGGTTTATATGAGGATAGAATCAGGAGGAGGGGGAAAAAAGGCACTTCAGTGTTACTCTCAACAGAGAGGGCAGCTTTGCTATGCAAAAAAGCACCTCAGACAGATATGCACACCGACTTCAGACATTACACAACATAAGTCTCCACTAGGTGGGGATGGAAGGTTCTGACCCTCTCCTCACTTCAGAGTGTGCAGCCGCAGAGCAGCGCTCACCACCTCCTTTTGGACAGGGGAGGGAGATAATGGGTTAGAGAGCACAGTGACTCCTAGATACGGTTCCTCGGCCTTCACCGGTCACAGTCCCGCCCAGGCTGGGATAGAGAGAGAGAGTTTCAATGGCGATGGCAGCATTCCACATTTCTTCTGAGGGGAGTTATCACTTCAGCCTCACAGGCTCCAAGGGCACCAGATTCATATAAGAACTTGTTTGGGGACAGACCGAGATAATTTCCTCTCTGCCTTAAAGTTCTGTTGGTCTTCAACCCCTCTAGATCCAATAATGGCGTAATTAATCTATCCCAATCCGTGCTGATCCGTCAACTCGCTCCTTGATGGAATCCACCTTCTGTGCCAGAGCCTGAATCTCAGCCAAAGTTCCAAGCTTACGACTCATCTCGACAATTATGAGTTTGTGCGTTCACAGCACGATGCATTCCATCCCTGAGCTCCGAGATTTAGCCAATATTCCTCGAAAGCTCGTTAATTTTCCGGTAAGCCAGGTAACCGCTCAGGTCAAACAGCAGAAATCCCGACACCAAAACGACAAATATACAATCATCTTCAGAATCCTCTACAGACAGTTGAGACAGGCAGATCAGGTTCCACTGTTTCCAGGAGTCCATGATATACCCAGCTGGCTCTGTTCTAGAGGGTCACCCGGGAGCCCCTTCTCCCGTTCTCATCGTTGAAAAGATTTTGTCAATCGTGTTGAAAGACCACCTGACCAGATCCATGTTTAATAATTTCCATTTTCAGAAAAAATGCAGAGAAGCACAGTGCACAGGCAGACAGGACACAAGAGCCTTGGGAAGAGCAGGGAGGGAGAGGAGAAAGAATTGGACGTGTTGGTGATGTTCTGGTTCTGTTTGTAACATTCTGTCTGATCTGCAGCCGACGTTTGGCACTATTGAGAGGGAAGACCTGGAGAAGTTCACCTTCAGCTTTGACGTGTTCTTTGGAAACCCTAAAGCCATGACGCCTGGTGTCCGGGTCCACTTCACCGCCTGTAAAGAGAAGGTGAGCTGCTGCTGGTTTCAGGTTCTTGTTCTACCAGATCACCATCATCGAACTTTGTCTGGTTCTGTCCTGAGCAGAACCGTTCTGTGGCTACGGATGTGAAAGTGGCTCCAGGGGGAACAGAGAACGTGGACCCAGAGATCTATGAAGCTGTGGTCGTTCAGCCCATCAATGAGCCTCAGGTGAGTTGGGTCAGGTGTTGGTTCTAGTGCCTGGTGAAGATTCCTCCGAGTTCCTGCCAGATGTGTTTGTTTTCAGCCCGGTGAGCGCTTGTACCCAGGCCAGGTGAACGTCGTCATCGGCATGGTGAGGACCAACCTGCCATTTGAGAAGAAGGACAGCACGGTGACACTGCTGAAGAACGACCTGGTGCTCATAAACCTGCTGACCGACATCGTGACAGAGAAACGGAGAGCCACCAACATCAAGCCCAAGATTCCAGCCACCTTTGGCTCCACCAACGAGATCCGTGAGAAGGTGGGTCAGCTCCACAGACTGCTGCTTTTGTTGATGTCACACCTGTCCAGATCTTCATTTCTGCTCCATGGTGGCTGCAGGGTGTCATCTTCAGTTTGAACGAGAGCGAAGGCGTAATCAAGTCCAATCAACACGACCTGCTTCCATTTGACCCCAAGGAGAACTTCAGCGACATTGAGTTTACCGAGGAGGATATCAACGAGGAGGTGGACTTCACAGTCATCATGGTGAGGCCCTCCTGCACTGCCGTGAAAAGGTCAGGAGCAGCATTAGAGCTGGGCCTGAACTCGCTTTTCTGTTCTTGTGCTTGTCAGATGAAGGGGGGGAAGCACGCCGTCAGGCTCAAGCGAGTGAAAGAGCCCCTCCTCCTGACACTCTGCTGCTCCTCCAGTGACAGTCAGGAGGACAAAAGCGCCAGCAATGACAACACCTCAAAAGCCCCCAAAACGAGAAGCATAACCCAAACCGAGGTGCCCCCCAACATGGTGCTGGACCAGGAGCTGTACGAGGGTGTCGTCAGTCAGACCATCATTGAGCCCAAGGTGAGCCTGGTGCTGGTCCGGTTCTACCTTTGGATCCAGTAGGTACACATGAAGGTCCCGTTCGGTGAAATTCGCCGTTTTGAATCCAAAAGCGTGATTCGAGCAGATCCAGTGAGAAAATATTTGGGAGGGGAGGGGTATACAGCGAGGTCGGCTTTTCCAGTTTAACCAGCTTGATTATTATCCACTGGGGGAAATACTCGAGAGGATTTTTAAGACGCCCCCAACACCAAAGACAGGTGACAACATAAATGAATCCGTCAGAACCTTCTGGAGGTCTCCGGTCCCCTGCAGACCTCAGACCTGACATTAAATCGACCCATCCGAAGAGGCTTATCGGTCCATGCGATGGTAAAAAAAAAAAAGCTAAATTAATCGGTGGACCCATGCTGCCAAACTATCCCTGTTACACCAGGCCCTTCGTTCATCAATCCAGGGGTGGAGCTTCAGGGGGGGATGCCGGGAGTCGGCCCACCCTTGAAACGAGGCGGATGGGAGGAAACGGCACCTCTAACACAAACGATGGATGCTGGAGAAGACAAGCACTTCCATGACGATCAGAGGAGAACGATCTCCGTTTAATGCAGAAAGAAGAAAGAAAACGATCTTTTATATAACACCTCTCGAGATAGAAATCATGAGGCACTTCACACAAAACAAAATAAATTTAAAGTATAAATAAGATTATAAAAAATGATTAAATATTTATGTAGGCAGCTTCGGTCAGGATTGAGTCATGGTTGCTACGACCTTTACAAGACCGACTGACTTTAGTGAATAAAATGCTGCATGACTGGCTTTATTTTACTCTCACGTGCAGCTTTATGACCTGCTAATTTACAGGCGGATCTCCAAAACGATCTCCCAAGTGCATTATGGGTCAAACTCGTCACCAACCGTTCACCAACGTCATCATCACTTGTCAGCTGATAGCAAACGGCTAACGGAGAAGAGGAAATGCATTTGGTCTCGGGGATTATTTCAGTTCCATTTTCAAGACAAACCTTTTCAGAGGAGCTGATCGTTACCAGAGTCCGCCCAACCCCGTCGCTAGCTCGTCTCAGCCAGAGACGACTCGGCGTTGGCCTCCATGGCCGTAGAAGAGGACTTACTGATGGAGCTAAAATGCAGAGAAAGGGTTAAGCCTGATTTATGCTTCTCCGTCTGCGTCAGTGTGGAGACACGCAACGCCATTATCCGTCCTTGCGTAGGGCTCCGGCAGGCACGCAAGTACGTACGGAGTCGAGCCCACTTTTTTAAACATCCGTCGAACGAGACGGATTACGCAAGCTTGTGATTGGTCAGGACGCCACTGTTGTTTACAGCGCCGCCATTTCAGAGAGCCGAGGATAACTAGCGGCAGACACGGAGAAGCTTGAAGAATACCTCGCGAAAAAACTCTAAAAATATGAACGTTTCATCCTCCCGTGACTGGAGGAGTGAAAAGATGCGCAGCAAGCATTTTATTTGTGGACGGAAATGACAGGAAACGTGGGTTTAGAGGTGGGGAGCGCATGAAGAGGTGGGAGAATGAGAGACAAATATGTCCGTGTTAAAAGTCTCTTATAAACACAAAAAACACAATATAAACACACGATCTTGGACCGATACATGACAGGATACCACAGAACAGCGCTACGCCCTCTGTGGTCCTGCCGGGCAATTGCTTTGCAACACTCTCCAGGAGACGGAGAGCAAAACGCTTCCGTCAATCCGTGCGTGTCTGTTCCTTGCGGAGCTGACGGAGAAGCATGAACCAGGCTTTACTGAAGTCTTCCTGCAGAGAGGAGGATGGCTTTCACAGGGTATCCGCGGGTCCTTAAAAAGTCTTAAAAAGTCTTAAATTTACTTTTCCAAATTTAAGGCCTTGAAAATCCTTAAAAATGACAAATAATCCTTAAATACAGTTTCCAAAGGTCTTAAATTACCAAAGACCCAATAAACTAGATTATTTTATTTCTATGACATTTTCGTGAATTTCAGCATTTTTTGTGTACGATGTTGGCGTAAGCGGAACTGTACACATTCAGTTGGTTGTGAAAGGGGACTATTTTTAGATGAGCACATTAGCTGGTTAAGCTAGTGGGAGCTTGCGCCATGGAGAAGTGCAAGTTTAATGTTAACTGGATGGCTAATCCCACGTTTGCGACGTGGTTAGCACCGGTTCCTGGCAATAGCTGGATATTATAGCTTAAAATTAATTTAAAAAATAGCTTAAATTTGGATCTGGATGGAAAGGAGTCAGTTGAGGTGGTTTGGGCATCTGGTCAGGATGCCTCCTGGACACCTCCCCGGGGAGGTGTTTCGGGCATGTCCTGCTGGCAGGAGGCCCTCGGGTCGACCCAGGACACGTTGGAGAGGTTACATCTTCAATCTGGTCCGGGAACGCCTTGGGTTCCTGCCGGAGGAGCTGGTGGAGGTGGTTGGGGAGAGGACGGTCTGCTGCTCCCTAGTTGGGATGCTGCCCCCGCGACCCGGACCCGGATAAGCGGAGGAAGACGACGACAAGCTTAAATTTGGTCAAAGTAGCCTTAAAAAAGGTCTTAAATAGTCTTAAATTTGGCTCCCTTAAACCTGCAGATACCCTGCTTTCATCTGTAAATAATCATAAACATTGGTGAGTGTTATTGGTTTCATTTACACATAAAACTAAATGATTAAATACACGTTTTAGCTGTTGATCATGTGGCCGGTGATAAATGTATGTAAAACATCCCGAAGAACGTATTTCTTTGTTATTAGTCTAAAACGCACGTCTCAACCAATAAAGAAGGCAGCAGCACATGAAAGGATATAGGGTTGAGATGCCGGGTCTATTGTCTGCTGTTTGTCATCTGTGCCGAAGCACGATGGGCCAGTAATGGTTGTTAACCAGGAAAACCAAAAACCATCTGATTGCTGTGCTGATCACCCTGATTTGTCCTCTCCATTTCTCCAGGATGGTGTTCCTGGTTATCCGGGTCAGATCCATGCCAACATTGGTCCCATCAAGACCAATGTGACATTCGACCACCGGGACTGCGGCGTGACGCTGCTGAAGAACGACCACGTCCTCATCAACCTGCTGGTTAATACAAAGACCAACAGGCGGCGGGCGGCCAACATCAGACCCAAAATTCCTTTCACCTTCAGCTACACCAAGGAGACCCGAGAGCTGGTAACCTCCACACGTTCCTCTGTAGCAGGTGTTGGTGCAGCATGTTTATGGGTGGTGAATCTGATTCTGTAAAGAAACAAAGTCAGGAACATTTGTGTGGCGTTTCACATCTGGGCCAGCACAGACCGTTCCGCTTCCCTTCTCTGTGAACTGGGACTGTTGGTGGCAAACTGGGAACTAATGGGGACCAGGGATTTGCTTTGTTGGCCCCAAGGGAAAGCCGGAAGTGACAGTCGTCTGTTTAAAGGCAGCTAATCACGAAGCTGTGTCCTTCCCAGCATGTTGAATTCCCAGTATGCACATATTACCAGTGGCTGTAGCTCTGCCTTCTCTGTCCGGTTCACACCACCACCAAGCTGCAGACACGTTGGCTCTGCTTTAGCCTGCTAGCTAACAGCAGCAGCTTGGTGTCTGAATCCCAGCCTGCTGTAAATTGTGACGTTACCATGTTTTTGTACAAGATACAAGTAATACTGATGTAGAGGAACTTGTTAGAGCCATTGTTAATCCATTTGAACATCTCTCAGGATGATTTTAACGTCATTTTTGTTGTTTTAAAATCACGTGATCGGTTTGGTCAGCTGCAGCTCATGCGATGAAGACACCTGGAGACACCTGCAATTAAAGCCCCGTTCCTGAAGGATCTATGCTCTCTGTCGCCCTCTCCAGGCTCGCTGCGTAACGTCACTGTCGTCAAATCAAAGGACCGTATAACAGCTTCATGCCCGACCAAACACAATAACCCCGCGGACATCATTTATTACTTACCTATCCATTAGCAGCACGGCTAGGTCAGAGTCTGTAGTTCATATCATTCTTTCAACAAGAGCTCTCCAGCGAGGAAAAGCTGGTCCAGTATTCAGTCTTTGCTCTATCGCGTTCTCACTTTCTCTCCCTAGATTCCTCCGATGAGGGATTTCTAGTTTCTTTGGTGGATCTGACACTGCTCAAGTCTCTAAACCGCGGGTCTACCACAGGCGTATGTATGTAGACGCCCCATGGACGGGTGCTGCTGTAGTGGCTGGCTGCCATTTTAGATGGGTCCCCATTCACCCCCAGTGCACTCATTTCTACTAAGGAAGGTGCTACCCAACTAAAACACACACTTTGTCAGACTTTGTCACAAAGTCAGACACAAGTGGCTCACATTCACTTTGGACTTCTCTACGTTCTACTTAAGAGAGTGACACCCATCCAATATAGCTGTTACGCTATCCAGCGCCTGATGGGGCATTAATGTGTTCATGTCTGTGAGGTCTATGTCTACGTGATGCTGCCGTAAAGCAACATGCAGTCAGTACATCCGGCGGTGGACCGCGGGTCAAAAACTGTAGTGTGGTAAACGTGGGACTCCATAACACTGTCACAGCTCCGAAAATGAACATAACAGATGATGGTATGATGCAAAAACTTAAAAAAAAAATTATTTAAGGTGTAAAAGTTGCGGAATGGGGCTTGAAGGCTTTGCGCTGCAAGGACTTTTCATTTATCTTCTTAGAAAACCTAGAAATATGTTTATTTGGGGAATGTTTTGGTCCAGATCATGTAGCTAGTAGTGCTCATCAGCTCTACTTGGAACATTCTACAGCCCCTCCATGTGATCCGCAGCAGACAGCGCTCCCTGGTGGAAAGTCCTGGCAGGTCACACCGGCTCCGGCACTAGTTAGCCTCCAAAGGCTGAAACTGTCCCAGACCCCAGCTTAAGTGTTTTTGTGTAAATTCACTCAGTAGAAAGTAGCTTGCCAGTTTGACCACCACCAGAAAAAGGACTCTGCAGTCCACCTACACCTGAAGGACAAGGACACATTCTGGACAGAGAGGATAGATGGTTTGAGGGAGGAGTAAAAGAAGCTACCTATGGCAAACGTGAAAAACCCACTTTAAATAGGGGAGGGGCTTAGATTTCACCTTTCCAGTACCTATAATGCAGATTTGGATCTCATTCCTAAGCAGTTTCAGTCTAGGTCACACCTTCCTGCATCTGATCAACGCAACCACTCATCAGGGTAGAGAGGAGGGGTACTCAGAGTAGTTTCTGCTCGTTAAACAACAACAGACAGCTACAGTTTAAGAGCTTGACTCTCCCATATTGCAGTCAGAACTGACAAAGCTCCTCGGATGAGAAGAGAAACGTCTTCAAGAAACAAAGAAGTCCAGCTGCCTTCATCTGAACCCTTTTGGAGAACCCACCACTAAAAAACAAAAGTTGTCCACTAGATGGGGCTGTAGCAGCATGATTACTCCACTACCAGTTGTATTAAGAGACTTATCCCCTTGACATATTCATCACCGTTATTTTTGTTGCTACTTAAAAAAACTGAGTACCAAGTACTTTAGTTTGAGATTGATTAAACACTAAACAGAGCTGAACGAGTACTAGGGTTTCCCGCAAACACAAAGTTTGGAGGCGACAATCTATTTAGATAAGACACAGAGCGTCTCCTGAGTGTTGTCCCGCTGGAGTCCTGCAGGTGGAGGATGCTACCTTGACCTGTCGCTACAGTCTTTTCGGTTTACAACACTGACGTCTTTGCTGAATGCAAAATGTTATCAAACGACTGAAACATTTTTTTGAGAACAAACTTCTCTTCCCCCTCGACAAGCTGTACCGCTACAGCGTGGGTCATAGCCGCTGCTTCAACATTTACATCGTCCTTCATCTTCTCACCATTTTCCCATCTCTTTGCAGACGGGATGAGCTTGAGTTACCTAGCTCACATCTGTTTAAAACTCCAAGCATGCTGACATGGGCAGAGAGACGACGGTTGTTGTCATAGATTTTGGTTTTGGTAAACCTTCAGTTAATCGCCCACCTCTACGGAACGGCATGAAGGTTCAGCGTAGCTGGTGGCAGCAGCAGCTCAGGAGGTAGAGCGGGTTGTCCAGTAATCAGAAGGTTGCAGCTTCCAGAGATCTTAAACTTAACCCACCTTCCTGCTGGTGGTGGCCGGTGGGACCGGTGGCGCCCCGCCTCTGTCAGAGCCCCAGGGCAGCTGTGGCTACATCGTAGCTCATCCCCACCAGCGTGTGAACGGGTGAATGACACACTAGTGGAAAACACTTTGGAGTCCTCTGACTCAGAGAGGCGCTATACAAGTGCGGGTCATTTATCATTATCATTTCTGGATTTCACCTGCCTGATCCAGATTCCCTGCTGCTGAAGCAGAGATTCTCAAGTCTGATCTTCTGCCCCTCAGGGCGTCATCTCATCTCTGGGCTCAGAGGAGGGCATCATCAAGTCTGACCAGCATGGGGAGATTCCCTTCGACATTGCCGAGAACTTTAGCGACACAGAATTCGGTGATCGGGATGTTGGCAAAGAGGTGGAGTTCACCACTACCATGGTAGGTCCATTACACCTGAACCGCAGAACAGCTGATTACAAAGAGAACGAGTTGGATAAGTCCTTCTGTTTTTGCAGGTGATGTCCAACAAGAGGGCCATCAGACTGAGGAGGATGAAAAACATGGAGGATCAAATCCTGCGTGAGCAGAAGAAACGGGAGGAGGAGGAGAGGAGAAAACAAGAGGAGGACAGAAGGAGGAAGGAGGAGTGTGAGAGAGAATCTGAGAAGAAGAAGGAGGAAGTGGCTGCAGCGCTGGCAGCTGCTAAGGACAAGGTGAGAATCAAACTTGGGTGGAAGTGAACGTCTAAGTGAGGTCAGGATTGGTCTGAGTTTAGTAAAGCTTTTACACAAGGTGGAGCTGACTTTATACAACCGTTCTACATCCTGCAGTGGACACCATTAGGCTTCCACGTCAGAGTTCCCGACTCAAAGTACGAAATCAGTAAGGAGCGCTTTGAAGGCACAGTGCTGAGAGCCGTTTCTAGAACTCTCAAGACCAAGGTGCCGGAGGACAAAGAAGCTGCCGCAGACGGACCTGCACTGCTGAAGGTAGTCATACGGTCAATGTGTTCAGGTTTTACAAAGACAGGCATGGTAATCGTTTTCCTTTGTCAGGTGAAAATAAAAGAAGAGCCAATGGATGAAAAGGAGCAGGAGGAGATGCAGGTAGGAGACAGCAAAGATGAAAATCCCTCACTTGTCTGTGAAATTTGCCGTTTTGAATCCGAAATGGGTCACCTACGTGATTCGGTTTTTTTTTTTTACAGTTTTACCTGTTTTAAAATTAACCAAGAGGGTAAATATTCAAGAGGATTAAGACGTGCCCAACACCATCAGTTCAACAGATAAATATCGGTAAATAAATCCGTAGGGACCGGTGATTCGCGACCCGCGCCAACACATCACGTCTAGAGGCCTCCTGTGTAGAACTCCAGACAACTCTGACAGCAGAGACAGACTGGCCGCAATATCAATCAATCAATCAATCAATCAATCAATCAACCAATCAATCAATCAATCAATGAAGGCTTTATTTATAAAGCACCTTCCACAACGCTCTACGGGAGCCCAAGACGCTGGACACAGCACATAAAACAACTAATGCAGTACAATGAATACAAAAAATATAAACAGGATAAAAGAATTTTGAAACATGGATTAAGATTGATGACTGACCCAGCCCGGCAAAAACACGATAAAACAAGAATAAAAACATAGAAAAGGCAACACACGTAAGGGCTGATCTCAGACACAACCAGGGAACACTTAATAAAAGAAATTAGTTTAAGACGACTCCTAAAGACCGGCAGGGATGGAGACAGCCTAATTGAGAGTGGCAGTTGGTTCCAGAGGGATGGAGCTAAAACTGAGAAAGCCTGGTCCCAAACCTAGTGTGAAGAACAGCGAGCAGGCCCTGACCAGCACCGGGCTGATATAATCCCGTTTCCTAGACCCAGTCAGAAACCTAGCAGCGCAGTTCTGCACTGACGACGCAGTGACGGACCCAGTCCAGCATAAAGAGTTACAATAATCTAAACTTGAGATTACAAATGCATGGAGAACCCGCTCTCGGTGGGCATTCGACAGCATAGGCGTGATCTTGGAAAGGCGTTGTAGGTGGAAAAAACAGGACCGTATCACCGAGTTAATGTGAGCATCGACCTTAAGTCCAGAGTCCAGTTCTTACCCCCAGTTCAGTGACAACTGGCTTCAGAAAGAGAGGCAGAAGGCCCAGATCAGCAATTGGACCCGCCACCAACCCACTGTTTGGTTGATGAAAAATAATGACCTCTGTTTACCCTTGTTACCATGCAGATAGTTGGCCGCTAGCCACAACTTCACCACAGGACAAAAGGGACACGATAGAAAGATCGTCCCCCTGACTTAACAGAGTGTAAATCTGACAATCATCCACATACAGGTGGTTGTCAAGGCCATGTCTGCGGATGATTGACCCCAGAGGAAGCAGATGAATGGTAAACAAAAGAGGACCAAGGATGGAGCCCTGTGGGCAATATGAGGAGAGCAGGACGCACATTGGAAGCTTTAGTATTCACCCATGGTGGTAAAGAAACGCAAAAATGTAGACCACGTTGTCTCTGGCGAGCCGGCTTTGGGTAGAAAAGCCGTCAACCCATTCGGTTTCAGTCTTTGGGTCTTGTTGGGCGCTGCTGTGGGCAGGGCTGGGGGGGACACAAGAGGAGCTGAGAGCTGAAGGGTCAAAGAGGAATTATAATATGGTTTAGCTGTGTCAGCCTGTAGAAGCTGGACTTTGTTCTGCTTCACGAACCAGTGTGACTTGTGTTTATGTTCAATTCAACTTTAAGAAAACGGAGGAAACCTTTGCCTACCCTTTGAGTTAGATGGTGTTTTCTTGTTGGCTTTATTAATCTCCTCCTCAGAGACATGGTGGACATGAGATAATAAAAGTCAAAATGTCCCCAAAAGACAGGCAGTGGAAGGGTTGGTTAGTGAAGGGGAGGTAGCTATCATTAATAAATCCTAATTCAGCCCACAGCTTCCTGCTGGTGGTGTTAGCAAACGTCCATCAAGTTTATAATCCTTTATGGTTTAGTGTTTTCAGCAGCAGGGCCCGGTTATTTACATGTCATTTGTTGATATTTATCTCATCTCACTGATACATGATTCAGTTTAAAAAAGCTCCATTTTAAGTTGCTAATTTAAGAACAATCATTTAAACATGTTAAACAACCTGTTAGAAAGCTCTAGAATGCAGGAGATGACGTCTACTCATTAAATGTCTCTGTGGGAGACCCCCAGACCAACCTCCCATCACTCCAGGTCCTCTCTGTCTGTCTCCGTCCTCAGAGCTGAGGACGAGGCTGGGACATGCGCCTAAATGTGTCTCAGCCTCGTCCTCTTATCAGGAGGAGCATAAACTTGTTAGAAGGTAACTAAAGACTGTCTGAGCAGGGACACGTAGAAAACATGCAGCCAGAGTTTGGTGTTACTTCTTCTAGTAATGGACTTTATTACACATTCTGATTTTTAATAACTCTGCTGGGTTAGTTTCTTCCACAAAGTGCAGCCGGTTGATGCTTTTAAATCTAAAACGTCCAGAATTACCGGTGCTTTAATTTGCAGGAGGTTTACTTGTTGGAGAGAGTGTGTGTGTGTGTGTGTGTGTGTGTGTGTGTGTGTGTGTGTGTGTGTGTGTGTGTGTGTGTGTGTGTTAGCGACTACTTTCCCCGATGTGACGTCGTCGAGCATGCGGGCGGGGGGGGGGGGGGGTCTCACTTTTTTCACCTTTGACCCGTTTCCATGTCAGGACAAGGAGATAAAGGAAGAGAGCGGTGCTGAGGTGACTGAGCCTGCTAAAGAGCCAGCAGATGCAGAGAGGGGTCAGCTGGTGATGACCGTCGATGGTGGACAGAAGAAACTTAACTTTGGCCCTAAAGACTTGCTGACCATGGCCACCATGCTGGCTGGAGACAAGGTGAGCCGAGAACACCTCTGGGTCTATTTGTGTCCTTTGGTGGTCGTGCTGTACCAGGGTTTGGGTTTTACGTCAGATTTCTAAACGCCCGATTTTGACTCTTGTCTTCAAAGGTGCGTTTTAACATCGCCACCCACCAGGAGACCAAAGAAGAGCGTGCAACTTTTGTAGAAATTCTTTCAAACTCCTTTGAAGAGTCCCCTGAGCAACGCCAACACGTGAGACTTTGATAGCTGACACGTAAACTTCAGAACTGCTGATTCTGGTCTGACATGATGCTTCTCCTTCCAGGGAATTGTGATCGAGTTCTCAGAGGGGTCGGGACTCATCAAGTGCTCCCAGAACCCTCAGCTCTACTTCCACATGTCAGAGGTGATGGAGAAGAAGAAGCTGGAGCTGAATGAGAAGGTTGTGTTCAGCATTGTTCCGGTGAGTCCTCGCTGTCTTTGTCACCCTCAGGATGACCAATAGGGTCCCTAACAGCAGAAAACGAAGCAGACATATTCATTCATTCACAGCTTTCAGATATTTGTCATGAGTCACAAAGTTTTTTTTTTCCAATGAAAATTGTAGTTTTTAAAACATTTGTGGTGTCCGGCAGCATGAAACCGCCGAAGGAGGACAACAGGCCATCAGGGTAAAACGTTTCAGCGAAAAGGTTTTCCTCCCCGCCCGGAAGCTTGGTGGTGTGAGCAAAGGAAAGGTAAGCTCAGCCAGATTTATCGTTTTATGTTGGCACTAGTGTTGTCAAAAAAATTGATACCTAGATATAAATCGATACTAAAAGTGGTATCTAAATGAGATATTCCATCCCTGTGGTATCGATATTATGGACTATTATACACAGCCTTCTTCAAGTACACCGACACGCACGACAGCCAGATGCCGTAAAGCAGCCTCCGCCTCCCAGACAAACAGAAGAAGACGCCGCATGGCTACATTACAATTTCCCACGCGAGTTGTCTCCGATCCAAGTTTTGTCTGCCAAATAAATAAACAAAAGCATAAACAGCGAACTTGGGAGGCGCTTCACAGCCCAACTTAATTAGCATACCAAGTCCGACACGTAGTTGTATATTCACGCTAATGTGCTTAAAGGAAAACTCCCGTTTATTGCAACCCGGACTTAATTTCTAGCATGCAGTACGTTTGTTTCCTCACGCTGACAACTTTGGTGCTACTTGGATTCCCCGGGGTATTTAGATCCATCAGCGAATCGCCGTCGGAGTATATCCATATAACGGGTGCGGACGGGCACCCATGGTGCAGCCTCGAAATAAGACATTATCTGCACCAAAACATCTTCATGTCGAAAGGTTTTGTTAGGAATCATTAACGTGATTCTCCTGTTCGTTTGGAGTGAGTCTGGGATTTCTAGGCGTGAACAGACTAGCCGCGGCTAATCTAACCGGCGCTTTTAATGACGTCACTGCCGTGCGCCAATCTGTTTTTAAGATTACCGGTAGATGTACCTTTGTCCTACTGTGGAGAAATTGTTTTCTCCCTTTATTGACCAACAGAGTTGTTCAAAAGTACAGAACAAAACATATGGCATTACATCTTATGACAAAAATGCACCTTAAACAGAGTTTAAGCAGCAAAACATCACTCTGCAAATAGTGTATATATAGTGAGACAATTCATGATTTAAAGTGTTAACTTTCACCAGTTTTTGTATGCACGTTTTAAAAAATGCTGATACTTGAAAGGCACTTTACACACTTAATTCTTAACATTTAATTTTTGCAATATAAATTGAGGAATGTTATTTTTTGAATAAACTTGATCAATAAATTGTTTTTCTTTTTAAATAGTATCGAAATCGAGTATCGATCCCCCCCCCCCCCCCCCCCCCCAGTATCGAATCGAGTTTGAAATGTTAGTATCGTGACAACCCTAGTTGGCACTGCTCTTAAGAAGCTGAACTTGGGTCAGCGAGGAAAGGACTGAGTTTGATTTTCATTCTGTCAGCAGTAGAGGTTCATCGATGCGATACCAGCATCACGTATCGGGCAGATAACGTGTGCGGGAACCCATAGATATGCTTTGTTACCATCTGACGAAGATTATTAGTTCACAAATGTTCTAACCCAGAAAGCTGCAGTAATCCAAGATGAAATGAATGTAAGGAACTTCAAAAGAAGAAGAAGAAGATGTATGATAATGAGCTGAACAAACCCTTAAGCAGCTGGATAACTTTAAGCAGCTGGGTGGCAGAGGAGCTACTATGTAAGGCTGATGATACGTTATGTTCTTATTTCAGTTTAATATTTGTATTAGGGCTGGGCGATATGGTCTAAAATTAATATCACGATATACTGAGGTTTTCACCTCCATAACGATGAAGGGACGATAACTACGGGTGTGTGCAGAAACAAAAGTTGTCCACTAGACGGGGATGTCACATGTATCACCTTGAGTCACATTTTTACGTGACTCAAGGTGGTACGGCTTCTTAAAGGGACATGAACGTTTCCAACCTACACACGTCTTTTCATTTTTTTATTAGCAAATTTAATGACATGGAAAAATTATCACGATAAGAGTCGGAAATTTCGATAACGATAAATTTTCTATTTATTGCCCAGCCCTAGTTTTTATGGTCCAGTGATGCCAGCAGCAAGTAATTTAACATGTTCCGGCTGTTCGTTTTATCCGCTTGTATTTGCTTTCTTCTTGCGTGCTGGTGAGCCGCAGCAAAGCTGCCACAAGTCATGTGTTTAGCATGTGGATGTCTCATGTGTAATCAGAGCTGGTTTGCTGGCTGGAAATACAGTCGCTATTTAGAGTTTTTGTTGGCTAAAGATTGTTCTAATTTTGTGTTTCTGTGGGTTGGTAGATGACCATCAAACTGACAAAACCATCTGAAGACGGGTGAGTTTGAATTTGATTCACTTATTAAGTGGTGAAGATGCTTGGTGGTAAAAACGGACCACCTCTGGCTTTATTTGTTGTTATGCTAATGAGAACAAACTCTCCTAATATTCCAGAAAACTCGAGGCTGACAAGCTGAAGGCAGTTGTGAAAAATTTAAGAAAGGATTACAGCATCACTCGGCGTAAATCCACTCGGAGTCGGAGTCAAAGCAAGAGTCAAAGCAGAAGCAGAAGCAGGAGCAGGAGCAGGAGTCGAAGCAGGAGCCGGAGTAGGGCAAGAAGTACAAGTCCACCTAGAGACAAGTTTGGGCGTCTCATCAAAAGAAAACGTAGCACTAGCCCGGAGCGCAAGAGTAGCAGGTACAGACCGAGCGGAGAGAGGTCACACAGGCGCATCAGGAGCTGCTCCAGGAGTCGCAGCAAAAGTAGCAGTCGTAGCAGGAGCAGGGAAAGGAGCAAAGACAGGTTCACAAGGAAAAGGAGCAAAACCAGCAGAGAGCGTGAAGACCAGAGGAGGAGAGAACTGACTCCTCCGCACCGACAAGGTGGAGTAGTGGATAGTGAGCTGGCAAGGAAGAAACGAGAACTGGAGGAGCTAAATGAGATGATCGCCTATAAAAAGTCCTTGGTGGATTTGGACCCAAGAGCACTGGAGCCTGGAAAGAGGACCTGCATAGACTATGACCATGGCAGGATCACCATGCCACTTACTGAATACAAACCAGTCCGGTCTATTCTGAAGAAGCGTCCAGAAGAACCAGGGTACCATCAGCCCCCGTACAATGACCCGTATTATGAGCAACCATACAGTCCTTACCAAGGCCGGTATGGAGAGTGCTATAGTGACCCATATGCTGGGCATCCTTACTCCGAGCGGCCTTATGGTGACCGTCTTTATAGTCATCGCTATGAAGAGCCTCCCTATGGTAGACCACCTTCCTCTAGCCACTGCTACACTGATCGCTATAATGTCTACGATGAGCCCTATGATGACCAGTACTATGACCCAGCAGATGGAGACAGGCCATATGATCCATATTCCCTAGTTAAAGAAGGTCCGTCTACAGAGCCTCACGGTTCTTCACCACCTTCGCGGTCTGGCCGGGTTCCTGGTGGTTCTGCCAGACCCCCTTTGACTCATTCAGCTGACACCTCCTCCTCCCACTCATCGTACAGACCTCCTTCTCCTATTGATTCACCTCCTAGAACCCCTTCTCCTAAGCGGAAGGCAGCAACCCAATCTCCTCCAACAGAAAAACCACCCCTGGACCGTTTTCTTGACATGCTTACTAAAAAGGTGGTTGCTGAGAAAAAACCTGGACCAACTTCTGTTACAGATGACCTTCTGCCTCATGAACGTGCTCTTCAGGATGGTAAGGGCTTCTCTCGGATTGTAGGATTGGCTCAAGAGCCACCAAGCAGCAGCCTTGCTAAAGAGGAGAAGGAGAGACTAAGCCCTAAACGGTCTTCAGCTGAGAGAGCAGGTAAAGAACAAAAGACAGAACCCTATGGTAAGATTGAGAGTCTGCTGCGTTCGATTGGCTTGAAACTGAGTTCTGGAGAAGTTTCCAAACTGGCCAGCAAAGCTCAGGAGACAATCTTAAGTACCAGGTCTTCGTCCACTGAAAAGGAAACCTTTTCTTCTGCAAGGGAAGAGCGGAGGGCCAGCAGAACTGGGTCAGTGGAACTAGATCACCTTCGTTCTCTCTCTCCTGCCAGATCTTCCAGTCTGGAGCCACTCAGCAGACAGAAACCTGCCATAACAAAGTATGAGGAATTCCTAGACCAGCAAGACTTGGAGACGCTAAAGAAGACTCAACTGCAGAGTTTAAAGAAGACCATACCATCTACCACCTTGTCCCCAAAACCACCTCCTGGTCCACCACCAGCTCATTATCAGCATCCATCACCCCCTCTGAACTGGCCACTTGGCATCACCTCTCAGACATCTGCACCTCACTCCTCCAAATCAAGTATTGGGACCTCTGACCATTCTGCAGCTGCTCAACCACAACAAAAACTGGGTTTCCCTCCAGGACCTCCCCCTGGCCCACCTCCACGACGTTCTTCCCAGCAACCTCCAGGACCTCCTCCTGGACCACCACCACAACGTCCTCCAGGACAACCTCCTTTCTCTCTGCCTTTAATTGGTAAACCTAATCCGTCTCCACCTCCCAGTTCTTCCAGTTCGTCACATCTTTCACCCACTGCAATGGTACCACCACCGCCAAAGGCAGCAACATCAAGCTCTGCAAGTTCTGACCAGTCGGCCATCTCTACAACTGTGGCCCGATGCCTAAAGGTGATTGAGACAGTGAAATCTCTGAGTGTGCAACCATTGGCCAAACAGGGTAAATCGGTGCAGTTCAGTTTACCGACTGAGCCTGTACCATCTATCGGTCCGCTGACCCCGGCAGACACAGAAAATGAAATAAAGGCCAAGCAGAAGGAGAAGGTGAGAACAGATGCAGAACTCCTGTAGACCCTCTTTTCATTGCAAAGTAACAGCTCTTTTCCATTAGTAGTGTAAACCAAGTAGCCACCCTTTAGTTAGTACCAACTTTGATGTGAATCCAAGCCACTGGGCCGAAAAGCTGCTGTTAGAAGTGTGTGTGTACTTACACACTGGACAGACAAAAATCCCAGGGGGACGGGGGGGTTAGGGTCCCCCTCTGGCATTAAGTTCCCCCCCCCCAAAAAAAAATATTGAGCATATTTAACAGTGATATAATATTGTCCAATGAAAGCAGAGCACAACCGAAAAAAATTAAACCCGCAAAACAAGGTGTTTGTATTCATTCAAAGATTATGACTCCCCCTCCACTAATCCTCATATTGGTACAGTCCACAAGCTGCTCCAATAGGGAGCCTAAGTCACGCCCACCTTCTTCTGCATCATGGGTCCCCGGAAGAACGTAAATATTAATGCAAGTCCACGGGGCTAAAAACGCTATTTTCTAATTCCGCTTGTTTTGTACCATGGATTTCACATTTGATGTCCGTGAATTTTAAAGACACATTTTGATACCAAGAACGTGCTTATTCTCGAACAGGGGGAAACGCTATTTTAAGTTTTGTGCGAAAATAATTCCAGGACTACAAATGCGCTTGATGTCATCGAACCAGAAACGGAGAAAACTGAGGGAAAATCGCTGTAAGTTCAGCAAACTTCCCACAGGAGGAAAGAACCACCATAAATCTGGTCATGTGGTAAGTATCAGCTACGTAGGGGAGAGGAGATCATGTGGTGACGTCACATATGTGATGTGCCGATTTCTGGTGTAGTCATGCTAATTACAAACTTTTACAAGCTGATAAATCTCAAAGTACGTGACTGGCGTGGTCGAAACCCCGATCATTACTTTTCATTAAACTGCAGTACAACATATGTGTGATCCAGGGCGTAAGGTAAAGCGGATTAGAAAATAGTGTTTTTAGCCCCGTTGACTTGCATTCATTTTTTTGTTTTCCGGGGACCCGTGATGCGGAAGTGACTTACCCCGGGTTTCCACGGGAGCCGTCAGCAGCACGTTACTGCAGCAGCACGTCTTGCTCGCGTAAGCTGCTGCTTGGCCCTTCCCACGAGACGCGAAGCAGCAGGGGAGCAGCTGTCACCGACAGAGCACGAATTCACACGAGTGACTTCGTCAGTAAACACAACAACAAGCAGGAGAAAATTACAACATGGTTTGTGTTTTATGTTCTGTCCGTTTTATAATCGCCAATACGGACCTGAAAAACAAAGGAGACCGCTAGCTAGGTGATAACTTCTCACGGGGACGCACAGTTAGTAACTTTTTTAAAAGTAAAGCAACCGGAAGGCAGTACGTTCTTTACTCTGAAAATCTCGGGTGCTTCTCTCCATTTCCGCGTCCAATTTCCTGTCTTTCCTTCCCCAAACATGTCTAAATTGACCCGTTTCAGAGGCGTCGCGCGTAGGAAATAGAACCGGCGCGTAAAGGCCGCGACATGCTGCTCCAGAGACGCGGCCGACTCGCGCTGCTGACGGCTGCTGACGGCTCCCGTGGAAAAGGTTCTGTTGACCACAGCGGTTTCTATCAGCAGCTATGACGTGCTGCTGCAGTAACGTGCTGCTGACGGCTCCCGTGGAAAGCCGGGGTTAGGCTCCCTATACTCCCGGAGTTGGGAGCGAGCAGGATGGGAAACAGCGAGTAAGTTAATAACCACACCACCTGTTGAACAGGCGCTGAAAAACATCCTTTTCTCAGTTAAACTTTGTTAATTTCCCAATAAAAAGTCCTGTTATGTCCCTGCAGCTCGTCTCCCCACAGAAGCCTCAGGTTGTTATAAACTCCTGGTTGGCAGACTGAGAAAATACAGAAAACAAAGCTTTTGCTGCGTTTAGTTAAAGCAAAAGGAAACAGAGCTAAGTTGTTTAAACATGTGGAAGTAGCCTAGCAGCTAATGAATACAGCACCAACCTGTAACCCTATACTGCTGTGTCAGGCCCTTGGAATCACACCTTTCTTAGCCCTATTTCTATTTTCACATAGGAACAATATCATTGGTCCTTGTCTAAGTATTATTCTTATTGGTCATCATTAAAATTAAAGGTATCAACAGCTATTTTGTTACTAATATATATTATTTTAAGGCAGGAGCGGGGAACCCTGGTTCTTGAGGGCTGTTATCCTGCATGTCTTTGCTCCAACACTTCTGATTCAGTGGTTTATTCAACCTTTTCTGCAGCTCATCAGGCTCTACAGAAGCCTGTTAATCACCTGCTGATTGAAATCAGGTGTGATGATGCAGGGCTGAAACTGAAATATGCTGGATAGCGGCCCTCGTTGGACCAGGATTCCCTACCCCTGTTTTAAGGACATGTTACCAGCTTTAGGATTTTTTTTTTAAATCCTTAAAAAGCTAATAGGCAGCCATTTTAACACTTAATAGGCAGGCTGTATGTTTTCTCTAGACATCTATAAATCTACTTAACGTTTCAGGTTGAAGATAACTTCTTAGAATTATTTCAAACATAAGTTTTAGGTAGTAAATATGACATATTTAATGTTCCACCAGGTTGTGATGCTGATACAGCAGGTAGCATCATCTCTGTTGCTGCTGATCACAGCTGCTCACTGAGGAACACAAAGTCAATCAGCTTTGTGTTGATTTTTTTATTTAATATCATTTTGATGGAAAGTTTTGGGTTTTTAACAGCTTTCACATCATGTTACTATAGTCACATTTTATTTAGACATTTTATTCATAGATGGTGTTTTCTCTTTTTATATATATATATATATATATATATATATATGAAATAAGAGTGACATCCGGTGGCCAAATTTGGGTACTGCAGTCAAGTTTTCTAAACAAAAAGTGGCTCCCACCTAGTGCCAAAAGATTCTAGATGACAAGTGAAGATGAGTCATATACAGTAAGTTGATGCGTAGATAAGTGGAGTGCTGCAGCTTCTCAGTTGAAGTGGAAAACAGTGTGAACCAAGTAGAATCAAGCTTCACTGAGTATGTACTAATGGAAAAGAGTGATAGGCCAATGGGGGGAATTCTATAAATCAACTTGATAAATTTGGAAATTCTGGTAGTCTCCTTCATTGGTGGGTGAGGTTTCTGTGTTCTTGTTGCAGCTGGATTTGTATAATCAGAGGCTTATGGAAAAAAGAGAACAGCAGTACAAAGAGATGCTGTCTCGCAAGAAGCAAGCTGAGAAGAACAACGATGGCTCACAGGTCCCACTAGGTAAAAAAATTATTTTATCTAAATAATTTAAACTTAACTAGACATCTCTAAGTTACAGGACTTTAACTTTTTAGTATTTATGAACATGTTATCCTCAAAGAGCAAAAACTGTTAAATTTACTACATTTGTTTGCTAGTTATTTACATCCCGGATTTTATTTTTCATTAAACTGTACGGGTACTTTAGCAGTTATTAGGAAATGTTATTGGTTTGTTATTCCCAAGATAATGTCAGACATAGCTCTACTTTATGTGAGCTAATTTAGTCAGACCTAAGATTAGCCAGGGTCAGTTGTAGAAACCGAGAGAGAGCTGGCGGAGATATGTTTGTTTGTGTGTGTGTGTGTGTGTGTACACTGCCTGGCCAAAACAAAGTCACCACCTGGATTTAACTAAGCAGGTACGAGCTTCCTATTGGATAACTGCTTTATAGACGACTATTTTTCAGCTGCCACAAGTTATTCAACCCCAACTGGTGTGTCTCATTTCGTAAACAGCCACGTGGAAAGACACATCTGGTGATGGAAAAGATGTTAGTCTGTGTGAGAAGGGTCAGATCATTGGCATCAGGCAGAGAACACATCTAAGGAGATGCAGAAATGACTAAAACTGGATAAGAACTGCCCAACGTGTTATTAAAAACTGGAAGGTTAGTGGGGACCCATCAACCATGAGGAACAAATGTGGCCCAAAAATTGTGAATGATCATGATCAGCAATCACTTAAACGGAAGCTTTGCAACGTTTTCATATTTTTAAATAATTGTCTTGAGCAAGTATGTTCTGAAATGACCCTTTAAAGGGTTAGTGAAAAGTCACCTAGGCTCCTCCGCCCCCTGTGGCCAGAATACCACATTTGCAACGTCAGAGTATCCGAACCAATCCCCTGAAGGCACATATCTCATGCAAAGCAGTAAATTTTTACAGAAATTCATGTTTACAACCAAGTAAAACGAGCTATACCTGTTTATCCTTTATTGTAACATGGTCGTCATGGTGGAGCCTCAGAGGAGACAAAGAAAACATTTATCTAATGAAGTTAAAAAGAATGTCCGACCACAATAGCAGTCAAACAAGAGTCAACATTGGGACTTTTCTGAATCATGAGAGCTCGAAGACAAATAATGATTCAAACTGGAGGCAGACCTATTGATCATCCTATTGTGCTTGTAAGTAAAACTTTAATATGTTTTGTTTGTGCATGTTTTAGCTTTCCTCGGGTTTGTAATTATTTCTAAATATGTTCGTCAGGCTGTAGTGATCGTGTCTCGTTCCGTCAATGATCATACACCCCAAGACCCCCTTTCTTACTGGGCAAATGTTCAGTCATTTATGCTTTTTTTGTCTCTATCCGAGGTCCTTATATCCTCATGCACCATCGAATCCACAGTGTGCCATGCCGACTCTGGCCGCCGCTAAGTAGCTGTCAGCCAGCAAGCCAGCCGGTGCTCCCAGCCACGGTCTTGTCAGATAGCTTGACAGGGCTGTAGAGTGTACTAAACTACACTCCCTTTAGGTAGGGGTCTACGGAGGTCTTATTTTCCAGTCTGATAGACTGACGAGGTAAAGATAAGTTTGGTGGATATGATTTTCACATTTAAATTCTCCCAGCTGCAGTCAACATCTGGTGCTGGTATTTAGGCATGTTTGTATGAATTCATCCCAGGTTTAAGGAGCTTAGAGGACTGATTGTACCACAGCAAATAAGTAAATTAATTAATAAGGAAATTAATCTGTAAATATATCCATCAATTAGGAAATACATTTGAAAATAAATTATCAGGACATTAGTATGTAAATATGAAGGAAATTAAACTGAAATAAACTTATTTGGCAAATAAATATTCAGAAATAAACATATTCAAGAGGAGCGGTTTTCATCCTGGCTGTGGAACACTGGACCAGCTCTGTACCCTAAGGGTGGTCCTGGAGGGTGTGTGGAAGTTTGCCCAACCAGTCTACATGTGTTTTGTGGATTTGGAGAAGGCATTCGGCCGCGTCCCTCGGCAGGCCTGCTGGGGGGTACTCCGGGAGTATGGGGTACCAGGCCCTTTGAAATGGGCTGTTCGGTCCCTGTATAACCGGTGTCAGAGCTTGGTCCGCATTGTCGGCAGTAAGTTGGGATCGTTTCCAGTGAGAGCTGGACTCCGCCAAGGCTGCCCTTTGTCACAGATTCTGTTCACAACCTTTATGGACAGGATTTCTAGGCACAGCCAAGGTGTTGAGGGGATCTGTTTTGGTGGCCTGAAGATTGGGTCTCTGCTTTTTGCAGATGATGTGGTCCTGTTGGCTTAATCACAACATGATCTCCAGCTCTCTCTGGAGCTGTTTGCAGCTGGGATGAGATTCAACTCCTCTAAATCCGAAACCATGGTCTTAGGTCAGAAAATAGTCGAATTTCTACTCCAGGTCAAGGTTGAGGTCCTGCCCCAAGTTGAGGAGCTTTAGTATTGTTCACGAGTAAGGAAAAGATGCAACACTGGTCGACAGGCGGATTGGTGCAGCAACTGCAGTAGGGCTGGGCGATGAATCAAAAATGTATCCGTCGTATTTCTTATGTTACCCCCTCCTTCACATTTTAACGTCTCCTGTCGGGGACGTAACAGTTATCGGACATTCTGACCCTTATCAAGAAAATTTTTCTCATGTCAGTACATTTGCTCTTAAAAAAATGAAAAGACGTGTGTAGGTTGGCAACGTTCAGTTCCCTTTAAGAAGCTGTACCACCTTGAGGCAAGTAAAAATGTGACACAACGTAATACACGTGACATCCCCGTCTAGTGGACAACTTTTGTTTCTGCGCATACCTGTAGTTATCGTCCATTTATCGTTATCGAGGCGAAATCCTCAATATATCGTGATACTGATTTTAGGCCTTATCGCTCAGCCCTAATCTGCAGTGATGCAGGCGTTGTACCGGTGGTGAAGAGAGAGCTGAGCCGGAATACTAATGTATAAATTTTATTTTTGTTTCTTGTGTATCCAATAGTTTGTTTTATATTTTATTACCTCTGTTTATATTTTCATTTCATTTATTTATTTCCTCATTTTTTTATTGTCCATATCTTCAGGATCAGTCCTCCACAGAGAAGTGAACCTGTTGATAACTGAGCTGCCGTCCCATACAGTTTGGTTTATTTCTGATCCAGTCTAGTGCTTTATCATTCTTATAAATTAAAAAGCCAACTGTTAAATAAACTCCACAACATTTATGTCTTATTTTTTTATCAAGTCAACCACTCCGTGCCATCTAGCTGTTAATGCAGACTTAAGGATGCCCTTCATTTGTATGGTTGGATACTTCAGCACTTGAGTTTTTAATTGAATTCATGTGCAGTTAAACAGCACTGAGGAATTGATTATTTCCTGATGATGAATGACAAGATTCAGAACCCAGTTCTTCAAACAGTCTTGTTAATAAGAGGCAAAGATTCTAAGTTTGATGCTCTGCTATTGTCATTAGCTAGAACTTCAGTAACAGTGACGTTAAGCAAGTTGGGTCCATTTATCTTGATGCTTCTACATTCATTAATCATCTGGTAGGACAGCGGTTGTACTAAGGCAGGTGAAACAGAGTTCCAGGTATTCAGGCTGCTGCTCTGGGGGAGAGGATGCTGGCGTTTGTTGTTCACCACGTCTTTGCCCGTGATTTTAAATTGTTTATAACTGCTTTCATTTATTTTTTGTTTTATATTTTCTGTGTGGTTTTATAGTTTCACATTTCATTAGCTTTTTGCATCAAGTATCCATGGACATCGACTATTGGTCCTACGTTTTATCTACTTAGCAGTGGTGAAACTAGGTAACTACGCTCCTACCTACAGCAGAAAACTTGCTCCACCTGGAAAAGGGCCTTTCTGGTTGCATCTAACATATCTCCTTTATGGCACTTCAACACTAGCATTGACTCCACTTCACCTGCTCATTTAGGTCGTCTTGAATTTTCCGGCGTGCAACCGGACGCCTTTTCAGCCCTCTTCCCGAGGTGGTTTGCCTAGAGCCGAACTGGTCCAGCTCAAAATCGCGCGTACTATTAAGCCTGCTGTACACGAGAGCAATCTGCTGAGCAAATGGCCTCAAATGACCATTTGCTCAGCAGATAACACGCTGTGTGCACCCAGTGTTCTCTTAAGTTTTCTGCCTGATGAGACGCTGAGGTGAAAATTTCACCGGTTTGATATTTTCTGCCTCACAGGGGATAATAACGTGGTGTGTGTGCACTACATGAGCTGCCGGCTGAGCTAAAATATTCTAGTGGCCAATCAAAGCACGTTCTCCGCTCACATGATTCCAAGATGTCAGCCAAAAGCAACACACGCTCACAACCAACTTTGTTTAAGGGAGACACCACAGATTTTTCCGAGCGTCCTTTTCCCCGCCCACGTACTTGGAGATTTCCCCATTCCTGAGAAGTGGTTGAACAAACCCTACCGGTGCGGGAGCCGGACCGAACCCTGTTTGGTTTGTGCTGGCCCAGGTGGGAAACTACCTTTTGATGAGCAAACTCATTCAGTTCCACCAATGGTTCAGATCCTGATACCAACAGTGTGAGCAAATGTTGATTGGCTTGTACTCCTTCCATGTTCATCATGGCATTTAGCTACTCTAGCTTGCAACTCAGCCAATTTAATCCTGTATCGACTCCTGGAATTAAGATCCCCATCATCAAAAAACTAGGACTTCTTCGCCACCCCGTTATATTCATAGAGGCTCAGGCAAAAATTCTTCTTCCGTAACCAGCTGAGCAGCTCGGCTACAAAAATTCCTACAAACTGCGACAAATACAGTATAAAAAAAAATGTTTAAAGCACATTATGATGTACAGTGGGATGCAAAAGTTTGGTCAAACTTGTTAATCTTTATGATTTTCAGTTAAATATATCATATAAGAAGCACACACGGTGATAATTGAGAAATGAAACAAATTTCATAGGATTTACGTGCAATAATTGTTTAAACAAAATTAGGCAGGTGCATACATTTGGGCACTGTTGTCCTTTTATTGATTCCAAAACATTTAGAACTAATTTTTGGAACTCAAAATAGGTTTGGTAAACTCTGTGACCCTTGACCTCCATACACAGGGGAATTCAATTATGAGAAAGCGTATTTAAGGGGGCCAGTTGTAAGTTTCCCTCCTCTTTGAATATTCTCTGAAGAGCAGCAACATGGGGTCTCAGAACAACTCTCACATGAGCTTTCCCCCAGTGCAGGGACTGAGAATCTTGTCAAAGTTGAGGGACACATTGATTCCAATCAATATTAGCAGATTCTGGAGACCAATGTACGGGAATCAGTGACAAAGCTGAAGCTGTGCCGTGGCTGGACCTATAAACGACCCTAAACACTGCTCAGAATGTACTTAAGACATTCATGCAGAGGAACAAATACAGGAATGGCCATCTCAGTCCCCAGACCTGAATTTAATTAAAAATCTGTGGTTTGAGTTAAAGTATCTTTCCGGAGTTTTCCCCTTTGAGAATATATGTATGATTTGTCAGAAAATGTGATTATC